ATTACAATGTCCTAAGTTAAGCAGGACTCAGCGATCCAAAGTTTTCAATTCACTTTTTTTCCGTGGAGCAAGGTGGCTTCATTCGCTGCCATCAAAGCTGCAGAAGGCGCCAAATACCTCGGTTTTTAAGAGGAAGCTTTAGGAAGTAGGAGGGAGCAGACAGCCGGATTAGGCATCGAGAAATTGCGGTGTGTGCAGCCGCACCGTACCGCTACCCAACACTGTACTCCTGGTCGCTGGATCGACGCTGGTAGACGCTCGTAGACGCTGACAGACGCTGAATCAATAAATAATTTCCACTGCATTATCGATTTTTTTCCAAAGTTCGTTGTCTTTTGTAGTGAATTGGTGAGAAAATGGCTAAATAGGCTGGAAACAGCTGATCGCCGCGTCGTGACGCGCCGCAGCCGCATCTGCAACCCTTTGACCGCCCTAATCAACCTGCCCGGATGAAGACTTTAATTGCTTAGTTTCCTGGTTCAGCTACAATTTTGCCTATGATATCCAGGGAAACTTCAAAAGCAAGTTGAGGTTTCTAACGTACTTATGAATAGATTATAGAGGTTTGACTGCTGTGCGTTTTCATCACAGATATTGTTATCGGATACTCCAATACACAACAAATACTTGATTAAATATGCTACTTCAGTGTTATCTAGGGTGCCAGTGAACAATCTGAAAACTACCATAATCATTATTAATGTTGACATGGTGAGAGCGATTAGTTACAAAAACTGTACGTACTCGGCAAAAGGTCCATCAGCCCAGATGCCCACATCTTCACCGCCATGATGACCAGATTGTCGTATATATAGCGCTGGGTTGGAGGTAAGATTCTTGAGCTGAAAGACATGTAGTCCGCGTTATCCTTGATGTAGCCAGGGTACATCAATTGGGATTTTTGTCGAGCCCGTACGATCCCCCTCTCTCCCAGCGACCAAGTACGACTCCCCCCCCCTGTGGGGAATCCCCAAAAATGATGTGTCCTGGATGTAATTTATGTTGCATCCCGGTAAGAAAGCTGTTCTATTCAAAATGCCGAATATTCTACTTCTACGAATCATATACACTCGAGATGTCAGAGATGGATGACCGTGGATACGCACTTCATTCAAAGGCAGTTTCCGCAATAAACTAAGGCTATAACCTCTTAATGTGTCAGATGATCCGGTAGGCGATTGTAGAGGTTGCACTGCATTCAAAACTTGCAAAATGGCACGCAAAGCACAGTAAACTTCGATTTTAGGCCCAAGGAGGCCCATGCCGGCCTACCTTGCCCGTGTCGTCGTACTAATGCCGTTGTGCTCTCTCGCCCGTCATTTTCTGGTCTCTCTCCGCGCTTTGCAGTGTATCGTCACCTTCTGCATATCACTGTTGATCTTGACCATCCTACTCTCGTCCGATGATCATGATCAAGTGCAAGGAGGAGGGTCATATTGAGGACGGTTTTTCATACTTTTTCTTCACTACTAAGTCAACTAGCACAATGCACTCCTGTTTTTGAACCTGCTACCTATGTTGTGCAGTCGCGAGAAGTGCCTTTGAAGGTGGAAGTGAGTGGGTCTTTGAAGGGGTACTTCCACATTTGGTCGTTTGCAAATACTGGCCTTTTTTAGCGCCAGATAGGATGACCAATGGAAGTATTCCACGGAACTTATCTATCACTGTGTTTAAATATATTAGGTTGTTCGAAAAGTAATGCGACACTTTGGTTGAATTGTTCTAGAAAAAGATGGAGACTGTTCTCTGGGGTTTCTATATGGGTATATCAACTTTGTGGAATTTTCAGCTTCAAAGTCCTCAGAGGGAGGTACTTTTCGACCTACCCCATATTATGAGTTCTGTAGGGCCGCTCCGCCGTAGTCGAGGAAGCTAACATTTACGTTGTCTTGAGCTTTTGCTCAGCGCTTCCAGGCTGGACTTGTTTACTCGTACGTTAGAGCAATGTAAGAATCGCCACCTAGCACGGATATGAGGCCCTTTACTCAGGCTTCTGAATGCAGCGGGGTAAGCCCACAGTAAGTTGAACGTCTCTAGGTCACCTGATGATAAGCTGCATGCTTCTCCGCTATTCAAAAAAATTTTTGTGATAGGATTGCCTCATGAATTTTCCTGATTACAAGTATAACGAATGACCGTGACTTATGAGTTTCGTTCCTTGTACACAACGATAAAATGCCCGCAAACGTCCAAACTAACAGCTTAGTGAGATCTGTGTTGGGCGGAGATGCTGGATTCTGGCGTAGCATCAACAGAAAAGTAGATTATCACAAGAATGCTGAGTTGTGGGCAAAAATCGGACCACGGGCGGGACTCGAACCCGCATCTTCTGCTTACCGGGCCGTTGCCCGTTGCCATTCCTCGAGCACTCACACGTTCAGACGTGATGAGCGGTTAGACGATAGCAGGTAGTGACGCAAGCTGAATGATTTTTTACAAGTTTAGACGATCAGACTTCTATGGCACAAATAGCCATTGAGCTGAGAGGTCAAAAGTGGCCCCGGTAGCGTAAGTGGTAACGCAACTGCCCGGTAAGCAGAAGATGCGGGTTCGAGTCGCCCGTGGTCCGACTTTTGCCCACAACTCAGCATTCTTGTGATAACTTTCGTATCGCGCACTGCGGCGTAAAACAGCAGTTATCAACAAAAACAGTCTAGAAAAGTAGATTGTTCAGCCAAATTCAGATGTGCATGGGATAAAGATTTCATGTATTATTGGTGGGACTCCAAAGCAGTATCACTGGACTTGAATTCATTCAGAAATACTCAATTTTTCTCTACTACTCGGCAATGCGAAGACCGCATGTGGGGATCAGGCTACGCCAAAAGATCATGGATTTCGATCAGAGAATGCGTATTCAGGTTTAACAAAGTTAGGTTCGTTAGTTAATTATCACCTCTTTTGGTCCCTATTGCATCCTTTGAAAAGCAAAAATTCCGAAAATCGACCTCAACTCGAGAATGAGGTCCACCTCTTCTTTTTATCATAGTTGCCGTAGTTCTATGAGAATGGAAATGAGAAGCTGTGCAAAAGAAGGGCACTAGTCCTAGTCATCAACTGCGGTTACCTTGTAGATTGGAGATGTCTTTTAGTGACGGAAAATTTAGTCCGAAAAATTTGGTCAAAGTGTCGCATTACTTTTCGAACAACCTAATAGTACGGAGCCGCGCCTACTCGTTAAGTGAAAACTAAACTTTAGGTGAGGGTCTTACTGCAAAAAGCCGGTGCGCAGAGAAATAAGTGGCTCCTGCGGCCGAGGTACTGGGAGTTGAAAAAACATGCCGTAAGCCGGGAGATGAGTTTACTTTCCAAAGGTAGAGGACAGCGAGGTAGGTGAGTCACCCATGATGCGTGAAGAGTTGGAATGTGGAAGGTTAGAGTGGTTACAAAATGCCATGCAGACGTGAGAGCGATTAGAAAAACAGAAATTTGGTGCCATTGAAGGGACTGAGTTTTACTTATCCGTAGGCCCGCCCACTCCATCTCCACGATTAGGACAGAGAGAGACACTGTTCTGTTATTTTGGAAGCATTCCTCCTAAGTCTGTTCTATCCAAAATTTTACTGCACTTGACTCCCTAGAGAATTACCAAACTTGGCAGAAACCCTTCCTACTCTCCTATAGGCCCATCACATTCTTCTATGTTTTGACACCGAAGCTGCACCTACTCAGTAGGGATTTGGGGTAGGTGTCAAGAGAATCGTAATTCGCCGCGCTGATGGGCGTCGCGTGCGACGTCGCGCCCGCAAATGACGATGGTTCCAGGTCGTAGATGGCGACAACAGGCAATGTAGAACCGAAAATAGTCATAAATGTCTACAGTTTCGTAGCCCACGTGAAATCCGGTGCTCCAATCGACAGGCTAACACGAACTGAGAAAACGCCGCGCCCATCGCCGCGCGCGGCGGAGCGGCAAATTACGATTCTTTTGCTCGTCTCTCAGGGATTTGATGACAAAAAAAGAGCGGGGAGGCGAAATTTCGCACTCTTTCGACTTGCAGCAAAGTGTGAACTTTGGTGCAACCTGTGTACTGTACCCAGCTTTCCTAGTTGTAAAAGTGAACTCTTTTATAAAGTGGAGTAGCACTAGCAGTAACTATTGAAAATCATAGGATTACTTGGGTCGCCGTCCAGCTGTTCTGTCCGGAAACCGCCTCGATAACCCGGTCCAAGTGCAAAGAACATGCTTGGTACCGAGTGTTCATCCACTTTGTAGTTTCCTGAAAGGCAATATTTGAAATTATCCGGAGAAACATTGGGACTGCTTTTCTTGCAAAAATTATGTAGTTGCACAAAAAATATCGATCCCACCTCAGGATGCGCTAAAATTTTAAATTTTGTTCGGAATTTCATTAAAAATACAGCAAAACTGTTATGTGCTCACCCCCCCCCTACCCAGCCCTCCCCTTCATAACAAATGCTCTCCAGGTGAGGCTATGTAATAGAGCAATTTTTACTTTTTCTTCAACAAAGTCAGTAAGAAACTACTTTCGGAAAGGAAACTCACCAAAAATACTTTCATTCAGAAGAGCATATCCAGGGATTGTGAGTGCATGAGCATGATCCGATGTCACAAGTATCAGAGTCTCGCTAGGATCAGTCATTTCACGGGCCTTAAAGAGTGCCAAAATTTAGGGAACAGTTGCTGTTGGGAGGTACTCCTTCGACGAGCGACCAAGCCACGTCATGTCTGCTTGCCTGCGCCCTCTAACAGAAAAGTCGCTTATGTGGGTCTTTCAAAACTTGAAATACACTGCGAAGCATAATCATAGTTCCACCCATGAATCTCACAAAATCCGTCTTACACGACGTTTTTCAAAATGCCCCCATACAAAAAATGTGGTAATTACCAATACCAATTCGCATGCCAACACCAAACACTAAGCTTGAAAAACAATTTTTTTTCGTCAATTTTTTTCAAAAATGGTCGTTCTGACAACGCAGCAAAATGATAGTTCCACCGAACAAATCGAATATTCCAACAACAATGTACAATAAAATGAATAAATTTTGATCCAGTAATCTATTGGAACTCTATTTCTCCAATTAAGTTGGAAAATACGGTTTGCCCATGTTCGATTAGAGATTTTAATAGGCTTTCGGCCGACTGCCCCAATGATTACTCCCTAAGCTCACGGACATTGTGGAATTGCGCA